GAATCGATATGTAGGCTATCTATGTATTCATACGCACGTTTTTTTGTGTGAAAAGGCTTACTATATTTGAAAGGGGTTTCCGTAGCAAAAAGGAAACCTCTTTTTAACCAATCAGAATCAAGCATTCATCAATGTCATGGTAGAATGTATATTACCGCTCGTGTTATCCTGTTTGTTACTGCTCGTGGTATAATGTATATTACTGCTCGTGGTATAATGTATATTACTGCTCGTGGTATACTGTATATTACTGCTCGTGGTATACTGTATATTACTGCTTGTGGTATACTGTATATTACTGCTCGTGGTATACTGTATATTACTGCTCGTGGTATACTGTATATTACTGCTCGTGGTATACTGTATATTACTGCTCGTGGTATACTGTATATTACTGCTCGTAGTACGCTGCATATTACAGCTCGTGGTATACTGTATATTACAGCTCGTGGTACGTTGCATATTACAGCTCGTGGTATACTGTATATTACAGCTCGTAGTACGCTGCATATTACAGCTCGTGGTATACAGTATATTACAGCTCGTGGTACGCTGCATATTACTGCTCGTGGTATACTGTATATTACAGGTCGTGGTATACTGTATATTACTGCTCGTGGTGTATATTACTGCTCGTGGTACGCTGCATATTACTGCTCGTGGTATACTGTATATTACTGCTCGTGGTGTATATTACTGCTCGTGGTATACTGTATATTACTGCTCGTGGTATACTGTATATTACTGCTCGTGGTATACTGTATATTACTGCTCGTGGTATACTGTATATTACTGCTCGTGGTATACAGTATATTACAGCTCGTAGTACGCTGCATATTACTGCTCCTGGTATACTGTATATTACTACTCGTGGTATACTGTATATTACTGCTCGTGGTGTATATTACTGCTCGTGGTACGCTGCATATTACTGCTCGTGGTATACAGTATATTGCGCTTGATATACTGTACACTGCATGTGATACATCTACAAAAGATGCATACAGAAATGAACAAGCATGAAATACTCACATCCCCGGCCAATATGACATGTCGGGTGTGTGCATTGTATTAGCTCCTGTGAACTATGTTCAATGGCCCTTTTGTAAATGGCCTAATTGCAGCACTAAAAAAAAGTTATTACTGGTGTTGTTTTTCCATCTGCAGTTTATGATAGAATATGTTACTGAATTTGTAATGAGTAAGGATGAGACATATGGACGAACAACTTCTTTATTACAATTAGGAGCGATGGTTTCGGTGTAGGTTCTAACACCATTATCAAGCAAGTGAGGTACAGAGTATGGTTGACAAGAATATATATTGTTTATACAGTTGAGTAGGTTTAAGATCAGTTACACTGTTGTATTTGTAATGAGTTGTGTTTCTGCATGAAGTTAGTCAGTGAATGCAACAAATGTGTCCATGACACTTTTGGAGGAACATACACTCAAGCAATGCAGAACTTACCGACAAGAAAGGAAATGTATTCAATACTGTGAGATGACATTATGTGCCAAGTTTGGTAAAGAAATATTGTACGGTTTTCAAGATCTGCTCCGGAAACGAGGACCACCGCCATTTTCAGTCTAAATCAAAGTCGTTGCCATGGAAACTCGAAAAATATTTTTTTTGAAAAATCCCAAACTATCAAAAGGCACCAGTTCACCACTAGACCTATCTATGTGCCAAGTATGGTGAAGAAATATAGTACAGTTTTCAGGATCTGCTCCGGAAACGAGGACTACCGACATTTTCAGTCTATAGCAAAGTCGTTGCCATGGAAACTCGAAAAATATTTTTTTTTAAAATCCCAAACTATCAAAAGGCACCAGTTCACCACTAGACCTATCTATTTGCCAAGTTTGGTAAAGAAATATAAACTAGTGTCCAAAAGAAACGATACCACCTGTTTGCAACGACATAAAAGAAAAACTAAACAATGCAGAAGTTTAGGATTGGTGTTATGCTTTTGAGAAATCCTTTCACAACATCTGTACAAAAATTTCATTTCAATAAAATCTGTACAACCAATATGACAAGCCTTTAAGGATGGGTGGGGTCGAAAAATGAACATTTCGTTAGAGCACTGATCACAGAAACAACGGGAAATGTCACACCACACGTCTCAAAGTCAAGTCAGTAGCGGGTATGTCCACCGTGAGCATCAATACATGCCAGAACACGCCTACGGACTGATGACGTTGGGAGTGATGCGTTACCATTCCTCGAGGAGACATCGTTCCAAGTCCTGGACGTTGACTGGAGGCACACGGCGACGTCGGATTTGCCGATCGAGGTGGTCCCATAAGTGCTCGATGGGATTCATGTCCGGTGAACATGCGGGCCATGGCAAAACCTGTACGTTGGCGTTGGCAAGGAAGTTCTGTGTCAATCTTGCTGTGTGTGGCCTTGCATTGTCATGTTGGAAAAGGAGTCCACGAGGCTGTTGCTGAATAAAGGGCACCACAACAGGCCGTAGGATGTCATCAAGATAACGCTGTGCATTCAGGTTTCCACGAATTACGACAAGCATCGTTTTGACGTCACCACATATGCCACCCCAAACCATTAACCCTCCACCTCCAAACGGCCGGACCTGTTGGATACAGTTAGGCGCCAAACGTTCACCAAATCGTCGGTATACAAGCTGCCGTCCATCGTTTCTGAAGATGAGGAATCTGCTCTCATCAGAGAACATAACACGTGCCCAGTCCCGCCGTTGCCAACGTCGAACTCGCCTGGCCCAGATCAGTCTGTTGTTCCGGTGTCGAGGCGTCAGGAGCGGTCCGCGGTAGGGATGACGTGGCCGGATACCATACTGCCGTAGTCTCCTGTAGACGGTCTGTCGACTGATCCTGTGTCCCAGTGCTGTAGCCGCCGTGGACGTCGCTGTTACGGTGCGGTTCCTCAGGTGTAATACCCGGATGTAACGATCTTCACGGGGCGTGGTTACTCGTGGTTTTCCACTCCTGGGCCTGTCTGACGTCTGACCTGTCTGACGTAACCGCTGCATCAACCTGGTGATAGTGATGCGTGCGCAGCCCAACCTTCTGGCGACGTCGACGTGTGACGCTCCTTGTTGGACCATTCCAACGGCTCTCTCTCTCTCGATGGCTGTCAAACGTGGCATATCTTGTGTTCTTTTTGTTGCTGTGATATCAACGTGTCTGATCAGCCGTTTTATACAGTTTTTATGCACGTGCAGAACATGCTAGAGAGGGAAATGTCACTTTCACGAAATTTACGTTTTTTCCCGGAAGTGATCACGTGTTCCCGGTATTTTTTATCGACTATGCTGTGTTTGGGATGTGCAATACGAATTGGCATGTTTTCATACTAGACAATTCACTTAGTAAAAAACAATTTTGAAAATAAGTTCGTATCGTTTCTTTTGGACACTAGTTTAGTACGGTTTTCAAGATCTGCTCCGGAAACGAGGACTACCGCCATTTTCAGTCTAAATCAAAGTCGTTGCCATGGAAACTCGAAAAATATTTTTTTTTTAAAATCCCAAACTATCAAAAGGCACCAGTTCACCACTAGACCTATCTATGTGCCAAGTATGGTGAAGAAATATAGTACAGTTTTCAGGATCTGCTCCGGAAACGAGGACTACCGACATTTTCAGTCTATAGCAAAGTCGTTGCCATGGAAACTCGAAAAATATTTTTTTTAAAAACCCCAAACTATCAAAAAGGCACCAGTTCACCACTAGACCTATCTATTTGCCAAGTTTGGTGAAGAAATATAGTACGGTTTTCAAGATCTGCTCCGGAAACGAGGACTACTGCCATTTTCAGTCTAAAGCAAAGTCGTTGCCATGGAAACTCGAAGAATATTTTTTTTTTAAATCCCAAACTATCAAAAGGCACCAGTTCACCACTAGACCTATCTATCTGCCAAGTTTGGTGAAGAAATATGGTACGGTTTTCAAGATCTGCTCCGGAAACGAAATGTGACGGACGGACGGCACCCATTCCTATATCCCCTTCCACTTCGTGGCGGGGGATAATAAATAAGCCCCAAAACCCTTTCCACATCCAACAGAAATCTGTGAATAAAGCATTGTCGGTTGTACAATTCCGACTATTTCATAAGCATGTGTTTATGAATCACTATCAAACAGAAATGATAACAGGCGTTCGCGAAAAAGGTGAGCGTACCTTGCCCCACCGGTGGAATCGGTGGCGAATATAGATATAGTTTAATTGATAAAGTTCATTTTACAAATGAATTTCGCTCTGAAATTACATTCATAATCATGCCAACGGTATCCATCGTTTTTTTCAAGTGCAAGACAGTGTTCGGAGTCATTGGCGGGTCCAGGTTGCCCTGATCCCCAGTTGGTGTAAGTAAAGGGTCTGTTCCCCAGCCACGCCCACCTTCCCTGCAGACAGAGGTCGGTACCTCCCAGGAAGTATTGGGTAACTGCAACGGGAATGATGAATTTATGTGAGTAAGGGATTAAGGTTGCATTGAACACGTTTTTAGATTATAATGGGGGGGGGGGGGGGGGGGGGGGGGGGGGAGCTTTTGTGAAACACGAGAGCACGAAAAAATAATCAGAACGAGCATGGATTCGAACCCACACCCATAACTTTTTGACGACCCTGATGTGTTCGTGCCATTGCTTGTGCAGTAACCTAAGCCGATGAAGCTCAAACTTGCGCATGAAGGTCACAGCCGTTACAGAGTAGGTCGCCTTTCCAAGTTGATCCAATCTTAAATATGCTATTTATTATACACAGTTAAGAAACATGGGTGAGGTAAAAGAGATTGCTCACCAGAATCGACCACGAACCTCTCATATTGGTGGGGCGGCGAAACCAAATTATAAATGACAGCAAATGACATATCCGTCAAACTCTCAGACAACTGTAAATTATTACTTACTTCACATGTAAACATAAGTGCAACAATATCTGACCTCAGCTACGTATGAGAGATTGATGTTTGACTCAGGTCTGTTACATGTGACACTCAGTTTTAGTTCAACATCCAAGCGCACATCTGTATTTTGATGTTATATTTATTCAAGTCGGTGAATTTTACCAGTTTGAAGTGTGACATACCTTATCAGCTTCAATATTAACTTACACACCTGTTCTTGACAGAGTCGCATACTCTTTGATAAAGTCTTCTTCTTCTCGACTGGTGATAGATGCAAGGTCAGCGCCAAGGTGGTTGCATCGTGACTGTAAAGTATGGAAACAAGATTCAAGTACACATGTACTGAGAATCCCCCGTGCCTCCAAGTATCAATATACATAAGAATTATACAATACAATTTAAGAAAAGAATGGAATTATACTCTTCCAAAACAGTAATGAATTATATATATATGAGAGGGTATTACTTTTCAAAACAAACAAAATATTTTGCAATATTGGACATGTATTTGTTCAAAATTATGTGTCTTCATTTCGTCTCATATTTACACTGCATAGGAAGCAAAACGAGCTTCACGGTATCTTGGACAAATAAAGAAAACAGTTAAGCATCCTGTGAATGGATTATAGCACACAAAACGAGAGGAGTAATTCGTATACAGTTTGTAACTGAGGCGCACCTGGCAAATCGTAAACATCACTGTTCTGTTATGTTCATGTTCTGTCAATCAAACGACAGTTTTATTGGTTTTCATCAACCACTGTAACAGATAGGAAAGCTCTTTAGTCTTGCTTTAATGTGGTATTTGTGATCAGATTGGAAATGCGTCGTCTGCAACGTGATGAACGCCAAAGGGAGAATGAAGATCGCCATACGGGTAGACGCAAGAGGTAGCCAAAATGTCCAATGTGTCTCAGTCTGCGGTATGCACACTTGGGGAATTTTTCTGCAGACACAAAATGTTAATGATCGGCCCTGCACAGGACTCCCTTGGGCAACAACAGGGAGGGATCGGTTAAGGAGAAACCATGCTTTACGAACTGGAGTCAAAACAGCCCATCAAAACACTTTTCCACGGCGCCAGACGATTATAAAGCATCTACATGCACTTAATGTGTTGCTCGGTGATCACGTGTTGTACCTCCATCAACAAACTGACACACTCTCGCAAGATGCCAATGGTGTTTATAGCGTAGAAACTTGTGTAATGTTTTCAGATGACTCCAGAATTACTCTTGGATAGGCGTGGACGTGTTTGGAGACGTCATAACGAACCTTCACGTAAAGCAACAAGACAAGAGTAACCCGTAACGATAGCCGCAATTTGGCCAGGATCTTCGAGAGGATTGGACGAGACTCCCTCAACTTGCCATTGGTAAATTGAGTCAGACAATGACAGGCCGTATAAATGAATGTTTTACCAATTGTTGGGGCATAACCCATCACTGATCAAGTTCCTTTGTTAGACAACATACCTATGACGTCCTTCTTGATTGTTTGCACCCTTACAATACACCACCAACATGTTACGTTGATTGTTTGCACCCTTACAATACACCACCAACATGTTACGTTGATTGTTTGCACCCTTACAATACACCACCAACATGTTACGTTGATTGTTTGCACCCTTACAATACACCACCAACATGTTATGTTGATTGTTTGCACCCTTACAATACACCACCAACATGTTATGTTGATTGTTTGTACCCTTACAATACACCACCAACATGTTATGTTGATTGTTTGCACCCTTACAATACACCACCAACATGTTATGTTGATTGTTTGCACCCTTACAATACACCACCAACATGTTATGTTGATTGTTTGCACCCTTACAATACACCACCAACATGTTATGTTGATTGTTTGCACCCTTACAATACACCACCAACATGTTATGTTGATTATCCTTGTTGTTCTTACCATCACTCGATACCTCATTGTATTTCTGTAACCATCTGCTATTTCTGAAGATCCACTATTACTTTTGGAGAGTATATTTACCAAATTTACAATTTATTTTCCCCATTGCAACCTTTTCCCAGTAGATTCAATTGTTTATTACGATTACTTTACATGTAGTTACTTTGTTTGTTGTTTAACGCCGCACTCTGCAATACTCCAGCTTTATGACAGCGGTCTGTAAATAATCGAGTCTGGACAAGACAATCCACTGATTGACATCATGAGCATAGATACACGCAATTGGGATCGATGGCATTACATATAGAGAAATTGTTTGGCAGTAGTTAATTAGCGATATTTCGGAAACGTGCTTACCATTGCTTCGTCAAATGTTCCCTTCTTGTTGGAGAACCAATAGCAGGAATCTCGGTGCTTGTGAAATCCGCCTGGACACTTAGTAGAACCTAAAAGTCATGATTGGAAGCTATCGTCCCTTTTGACGAATATATTTATATTATAAACATGTCGGTAATATGAACGTGAACTCCTTGCGGTCACGAGTAAACAACCTGACAAACTACATAAATCAGTTCTACACTTTATGTATTCCGGGCTGAATATCATCTCGAGAGGTTTTGTAAAAAAATCTGCTCGGATTGGCAAAGTCATAACACGTAAATGAGGCCTAGAAATTTTATTAAGCTTCACATATATAGATAATCAGTTGTTCAATAATGGTTACACAGTCGACTCCCTTCCCTATTACCATCTGAACTATGTATTAAAAAGTCCATGTTTCATATTTAGATTTTTCATGAAGAGTGCCATCAAAATTATCCACACTTTTGTATGGAATGAGGAATGACTGTTTTTTAAAGCGAGCTTTCTACGTTCAGAAATGATATGTCATGACTTGCGGTAATGTCTACAAGTAGGCTCTGACAAAAATCCAGAAGTATTTTTAGAAGCAACTGGAGTAGAACTTGACTTTTTGTCAACAAACTTAGAACCAGGCTTGTTAGTACTAGATCTAGGTTGGCTGGTTTGTTGTTTAACGCCGCACTCAACAATATTCTAGCAATATGGCGGCGGTCTGAAAATAATTGAGTCTGAACCAAACAATCCAGTGGTTGATATCATGAGCATCAACCAAGTCAGGGAGTCTGACCACCCGATCCCGTTAGTCGCCTCTTACGACAAGCATAGTCACCTTTCACGGCAAGCATGGGTTGCTGTAGACCTATTCTACCCCAGAATCTTCGCGGGTCACTACATCTAGGAGATAGAAACAATTACAACTTAGTCTCAAACTACTTGAGGCTTTGTTTTCTGAGCTGTAACTCTCAAACTCGTAAATATTCTTGCAGGAAACTAAACATGTGCAATGACCATGTGTTAAACTATTGCCTTTTCATGTATTTAAAGTTTCTTATTCGTTGTGTTTCCATGTAAACAATTTGGACTCAACCTCTACCAAGTACCATTTGTTTCTCGCCAAAATTCTACAGTATCTCCATGAAGCCATTATCTTTATTGGCCAAATGTGTTATTATTGTTTTTCGGATTTGCAAACACGTCTACAGTAATAACCTGAACTACTGTATCAAAAGGAGGAGTGATGTTGTCAGTTTGTCAGTAAACACACATTCTAGTTGATCTTCAGCAACCCATGCTTGGCTTAAGAGGCGACTAACGTAAATAACTTCTTTATTCTTGCAATCCGACCATTCGGTTGTGTTACAAGAACTATTTCAAGCAAATGTCTTCATTGTTGAGATGATGGGCACCACACACGCTAAGAATAGTTATTAAATAGAGGAAGAAAGCAATGAACCAATGAGTGAACTCGCATAATTACCTTGGATAGAGGCAGCTTTTCCAGATCGAGTGACCAAACATCTCATACCCGGGCTGCAGGTCGTGGTATTACAGGAACAAATACGGGCCTGAAGATAGATGTAAATAGGGATAAGTGGTGCTGTTTAATTTGTTGTAGCTTGACTCGTATGGTGGGTGATATTTGCTCACAGCCTCTTTACGGTCAACAATCGGCATAGTTTGTTTGGTGTTTAACGCTGCATAATTAACCGGTAATTAATCGTTCTTGACCACGTGCACATGCCATGTCATGTTGGGGAATACAGGCATACAGCCAAGGTGCTTGCTATGTCTTCAGTATGTGTGGAATAATGTAATGTAGTATGGCCAAGAATTCTTCAAGATGAGCGGAATCAAATAATGGTGCTTGTCATGCATTCAGGATACGCGGAAGGATGCTTTTGATGAAAAGTGCTTGCCATGTCTTCCGATGTGCGGTATTATGGTATATAGTCAATATGCTTATCCGGATATGAATAATTAAAGAATAACATATTGATGTGTAACATGTGTCTAGCATGTGGGCAATTGAGTATGGAACTTGGTATATCATTGATGTGTAATTTTCATGAATTTCGATCAATACAACATGAGAGGTTTAGTTTTTACAACGAATGGTTTTGTAACTAATTACTGATTTCAGTAATACCGTTATTGAAAAACCAAGTCAAGATGAAAATATCAAAAACATCACAATTGACAGTATAAATGCAAAGCCCAAAACGTCCCCCAGTTTCACAATTGTTTCCTGTCAGTAATGAACTATAACTACTGAAGACAATGTTAAAAAATAACAACATAAATTGTGTAAATGTTGCTGATTTCTGGTCATATTTGGCCTCAAGAGTATTCATAAAGTGAATTTATGAAAAGAAAATCTTTTTCAGGAAACGAGATCCACGACAGTTGACACTTCTGGCTAAGACGTCCCAATGGATATTTCAGTTTTCTCCTTCTAAAGTGTTGCTGAGGCCGATATGTCAAAACATTATCCTCGACAACATACATCAACTTAAAACAGTAGCGAGCATCAATATATTATTGTCAGGTATCTATTTTGTATTCTTCCATGAATGATGATCTATCTGTTTGACCAGTTTCAGCTTCATAGCTGGATAATTGTCCACAAATGATTGAGAATTTGATGTTTCACCTTCTACTGTTTCAGCTTCTCAGCTGGATAATTGTCCAAGAATGATTGATAATTTGATGTTTCAGCTTCAAAGCTGGATAATTGTCCAAAACACCTCCCATCTTAATTCTGGAAACCCATTTTTCAAGAAACTATCGATGTTGTGGCCTGTCTCTGTCAAAGGTATTTACAAAATTGAACATGCTGTTCCCTCGGGTACATTAAGATGGGCGAGAATATTTTCCTTTGCTCAAAACTCATGTTTTTCTTTTGCAAATACATAAAGGGGTGTCTTTCCTATCCCATTTTATGCATGTTTATGTTGCTGACGTCCCCAAGTATTATAAAACACTTCAATATCTACCGTTATAACATTTCATATCATTACCATCATCTAATACACAAGACAAATATTCGGTTTTATTATCGATGCGGTCTTCAACTTGATTTTATTAGTCTTTAAATCCTATGTCTAGTGCATATTTTCACAAACAGGGCGTTAGTTGATACAAGGAATGTAAGATCCAGTTGATTTTCCAGTTCAACTTACTTACTGCTGTTTTTTTTATCAAATAAGAGAATTGTATATCACATTCGTCAGTCCGTTAACAAGGTTTTAAAATTAATATTAAATAAAAGCCATTCATACTCCAGTTGTGACAGGGGTGAGGGTATGGCAGCTGTAGCAGACATATTGACAGCCGTTGTTTCGTGCGTTACAAGGTTATTTAAACGGCATTGGTCTTATTGATTGTTACTATACTTTAAGGATTTCTCTAGCCAGTGGCGGATGTTATTCAAACTCCTTCCACACTGACACCGCTTCAAAGTTATTTGTGTATTGATTACATAACTCTTACTGACAGGGTGGGTGGAAGTTCGAGACTGTGTCTATTCGGCGCCTCTAAACATACTGTTATTGAATGACTCATTAAACGATGATACACATCAGGATCAATCTTTCATAAACTTTTTGTGCCATATATATCCCCAATTAACGAACATATGTATCCACAAAAATATATATACAGGCTAGGTATTTGCCCACAGCAACACCTACAAAACTGTTTCTTTACACGTGGTGTGGCAGATTGCAATTGAACGAGAACAGGTATTGTAGACTCACCTGTAAATAAGACCGACACTGTAATTATATACAACGTACTACCGAGTTTATGGAAATTTTTAAAAGAAGGCTGTTTTTTTTCTGAGCTGTTACCATTTTTTATGCCAAAAGTGTCAATGCATTTAAAAGTTACTTTCGTGTCACAATATTCAGTCAGTTCGACACCTGATATAATAAAACAAATATTTCGAGATTTCGTTAGAAGATGAGATATTCAGCCAAGAATGATTGAGAATTTGATGTTTTACATTTGACTTAGATTATCTGTATGAGATGGCCCTGCGTGCATTCTGAATCATTGCAAAAACTTCGAAAGTTTGAATAGCTCACAAAGTTGTCTCCCTCAAATATTGGCGAAATATAAGACCATGGTCGAACTACAGGTTGTTGTTTGATTTCTCTGGGTTGTTTGAGTGATATTTTGATACCAAGGACAAGTTCAATAATGGCTATTGTGAAGGTAATGCTATATGTCTGGCCATTTTCATTTGCAGGGGCCCTCTGTCTGTTCAATCGGTGAGCTCGGAAGACTTCATAACTTCTGCAACGCATAATCTGCTGAAAAATAGCCTTAACCATATTTTGTTGTATATGTATGTGTTTACTAACAAATTAAGCTTGCTTATTCAGCTTTGTCAGAAATGACATAAAGTTGTGACACATGTTTATAACATTCATTATTGTGTTGCTAAAGCATGAATCTTGCTGATCACCTTTTATCTTGTAGGCTTTGGTTTCACCGCAAAGTGCTTTATTCAATAAGATGGAATTGTGATCCTAGCTGTGATTAACACGCCGTCACACATCTACACACATCCACTTGACATAAACAGAACTTACTTGGAGATGATTCTGAGGACGGACACTGGATGTTCGACAGGATGCAAAAATGAAGTTATCTTGGCAGTTAGGTTCACACAACTTGATGTCAATATTCCTAAAAATGACAGACCTGTTCTTCATTTTCTCTGACATTTGAAGTCCACAATGCTGTGTGCGGCATGTGGAAAGAACAAACATGAAGTAAACAGTTGCTATGAAAGCCATCTGCAGGCTGTTACTTGAACACAGCATCATCATCTTGAAGCGTTAACAGAGAAGTGCAGGATCCGCCAGAGACAGCAGTACAACAGTCAAATGATCACGTGACCCCCAGGTAGTCTCATGTCTGCTTTTGATAATTTTCGTTCGAGACATCACGTGACGTATAAAGAATACCGACGCTGACGCTGAAGAGATCAATATACCATACATGTTTAAACATTTGCTGACGCAAATAATAGACATGGAGACAGTCAGTTGGTGCAAACTGTTGATAATATACATGTAGCTGCACTGCCTAAAGGTCCATTACTACGAATGAGTAAGTAAGTGGGTGCGTGATTGAGAATGATTTTACGCCGTTGTGTGTAATTGTATCCATATTTGACATTCAATATATTTAGTTAGTTAGCATTACAACTAACACCCAACAGACCCATCTCCTTTACCACATCACCCCAATAGTCCCGTGATGTACACCACCACCAACCAAACAGTCCCACCAAGTACACCACAATCAAACCAACAGAACCATCACCTACACCATCACCAACCAAACAGTCCCACCAAGTACACCACAATCAAACCAACAGAACCATCACCTACACCATCACCAACCAAACAGTCCCACCAAGTACACCACAATCAAACCAACAGAACCCTCACCTACACCATCACCAACCAAACAGTCCCACCAAGTACACCACAATCAAACCAACAGAACCATCACCTACACCATCACCAACCAAACAGTCCCACCAAGTACACCACAATCAAACCAACAGAACCATCACCTACACCATCACCAACCAAACAGTCCCACCAAGTACACCACAATCAAACCAACAGAACCCTCACCTACACCATCACCAACCAAACAGTCCCACCAAGTACACCACAATCAAACCAACAGAACCATCACCTACACCATCACCAACCAAACAGTCCCACCAAGTACACCACAATCAAACCAACAGAACCATCACCTACACCATCACCAACCAAACAGTCCCACCAAGTACACCACAATCAAACCAACAGAACCATCACCTACACCATCACCAACCAAACAGTCCCACCAAGTACACCACAATCAAACCAACAGAACCCTCACCTACACCATCACCAACCAAACAGTCCCACCAAGTACACCACAATCAAACCAACAGAACCCTCACCTTCACCATCACCAACCCAACAGTCCCATCACCATAATCAGGTAACTCATATCCTCATATAATTGGCATTTATGACATGAATGTAAGTTTAAGGTTAATACAGAAATAATGATAATATTTTTCTTTCAAAAAGAAGTTGACAAATTACCCTGTAAACTTAGTCCAAAGATAGATGTTTTAATTTCATCACAACCCGTTGTCCACTGTTTAGACTCACTCAAGTCATTTCTTGGAAATCAGTCAGAGAAGTCATTTCTTGGAAACTGAGCATGACATTTCCATTTTTGGGATGAACTAGTTTTACAAAACGCTGAAAGAATATATTTCTACAACAAACGTATGAAGTAACGTTCTACCATTTATTTTACATGTGTAAGTCTTTTGTTAGTTAGCAATTACCACCAGTTAAACATAAAAAAATCAAAATAAACGCCTCTCCATCTCGAACTTAGGTGTGGCAGAACTTGACCTACATCACGGTTACTTACAACTCACAACTCGTAATGGCTGACAATGTTGTTGTTTACATTGACTCGGACAATTAAGTTACATGAAGCCAAGTGACAACCCTGATTTAAGATGTAGTTCAACATTAACCTGTAGAGCCTACTGGTACAATGTGATTACCAATGGAACTTGAGTATGACTGAACAACCCTTTCGGGGCTGCAGACGAACCGACAATGGTGACACAAAGAATCTGCATGATTTGTGCTTTCAATTTCAAGATTTCTCAGATTCAAGGCCACCGTGTGATATCAATGAGACAGGTGTGGTCCAGAAATAGTGGTATGTGTATGATTTTCTTTATTTTGAATGTTTTGAAATGAATTTCAACAATTTTGACTTCAATGATGTCGGGACATTGTTTTCATGGCCTTTCGAAGGGACGAGTGTTTTCTAATGGAGTTTCAAATCCTCTTCTGCCAAATCCTTTCGATACTGCTTACGGAGATGGCCACGAATATGATCACAAAAAGGCTTGTAAACAACATGTTGTCATGAATATAGTTTTTTCAAACTACTTTTCTAATGTTATATTTTACTTTCATTGTCGGTTGATTCAATGAGGAAATGGCTTAAATTGTTCCAAATCTGGTCACCATAGAACATGTCCCTAACACTTTCATAAACATTTTATTTGTATGCAAAGATGTGCCTTCGTTTAATCCTGTAATGTCGTCATCGAAGCAGTCAGGGTTGCGGTCTAGAACGCCGATAACATCCGATATCAAACTACAGTATTTCCTTAATTGGACGCTATGTCGTCTATTAATTTCACGAGAGTCGTTGACTCGGCGTCTGTTAGAGCCCCGGCTTTTATTAGAGCCCCAGCCAGTTATGGAGGAAATATAGATACGGTTTACAGTTCATATTTAAAGTTACCAAATACGTAGTAATGGTGCCACCTTCAAGTGTGATTGGTACGCATGTGTAGGAGATACTCGGCCAGGACGTGAGGTGAGACTCATGTGCTATCTTGATCCTTTTCTTTACAATAGGTCTCAAATGATAACAACTTATCATCGTACAGGCCTCGAGTCGAGGGTCTGTGCCCATGGATAGGAAAAGCTTTAGATGCTGGTGCCGAATAGCCTTTCTTGCATTGGGCTCTTCGTACATGAACCAGGCGTGTAGATGAAACCTGCCTGGCGTGGGGTGTGGTCGCCTGTTGTGTTGATGCACCAGTAGGTTCGGCCACCCCGGTAGAGTTAGTGGTTCGCTTCCTGCAAGGTTTCTTTGGTCCATTAACCAACCTCTAGCCGGCCACCAAGACGCGATCAAAATCAGAGCGAGGCTCCTGGTTTCCCTTATCTTTTGTATCATCTAGGGAGGAAGTACTGGGGTGGAACAGCGGACGATTGTTAGATTACATTACCAATATATTTCAGAGCTGTTAAAATATCATTTGATTCTGCATTAAATACGGAACATTTATCTGAAAGTCTCCGTGATATTATCCTGGATCCATAGGCAGTAGCCATGGCAACTGCATCACTATCCTCGGATCCATCTGTACATATTTGGAGGTGCCATACGTGCTTCTTAACTGAATATATTCTTGTTGATGAATTAGTTCTTTGCTTGAGATTTATCATGTTTAGTTACTTTTAGGTTCACCTCTGGCTTCACCAACTGACGTGGTGGAGAAGACAAAAGTTGGGTTTGGGCTATAGTTTCAAGATTTATTTTGCCTCAGAAATAGATGGAAAGTGTTCTTATTCATACAGGCAGAACAAGTGATGATTTCCGTTTGTAAAGGTCCCCCGTAGTGAGGATTAAATACGCAATCAATTACTGGATTAGATCGACTTGATTATTCGTATCGCGGAAGCGTCATAGAGTATAAGCTCTAGTACAACACGCCCCTGGTGGATTAATACGGCGGTACTCCTCACGGGTCAGGTATTGTATGGATAGTTTAAGACGTGGTTGTCTTTTTATGGCTCATCGGCCTCTGCATAAAGACTATTAATTTATAAAGCCGCACCTCGTTAGACAATCACAATTGCCAAGCCAGAAAAAAATGGCTTCACATTAACGATAAATATATGTAAATCTTTCTGGTAAATAGTAGAAAGATAAGTAGGACTTGAATAATTAAACAATATAGCTCCATAGGTTTTATCGCCTCAGCCGAAACGACGCAATGAATACAATCGCTTCTCCTTTTCATAAATAAAGTCTAGTCTGTGCTAGTTTATTATCAACAATGATGTTTTATTACTTGCCCGTGAAGAGATCACCCGTTTAATAAACATACAGCTGTATTACACTTTGTGTAATACCAAAAACGCATGCTTATGTACTCTCGGAACACGTTTCACGAACAAATATTGAAAGCTCTCAACATCCCTTGGCTTATTCAACGACATTGCGTATGGAGTTGATAGATCACTGAGAGGAGCTTATGCACACTCGATGACCCCAGCACCCTTGTTGCTAGGCTGACGTCACGTGGCATTATTTCGCCGATGGATCTTGCAACAAAATTCCACAATTTACGTCATCGGGTATTTTGACGTGATTGTAAACTTTGAGGTGCAAGGCCCGTTCCACAAGGCGATCGTATTGTAGCGCAACGACAGTCGTTAGTCTAAGTTAAAGTATGTGAGTTGCGATTAGCCCTACGATAATTTTGTGGAACGGACGCCTGAATTCTAAAGGTGGACCGTTGTATGGTATTAAATTCATACGTTTCAATTTTTGACGTGTTTGAAGTATTATTCTGTTAAACTCAATTGGACTATGTCGTGGATCGTGTAGGTGTCAGCCTATTCATACTCAACAGTATAATTCTAAAAACGTTATAAATGGCAAGTAATAAATAAAATACTAAACTCGCTCCAGTGTAAAACCAATTTTATGAAACTCGTGAATAGTTGTGGTATCTGACTCGCTTTCGCTCGTCAGATACGACAACGATTCACTCGTTTCATAAAATTGGTATTACACGGGAGCTCGTTTAGTATTCTATATATATCAGCACCCTGTGGGGACCCAGGGTAGAGTGTATCCCCAGCACCCTATTGTTGGTCGTATGAGTCGTTTAAATTTGGCAAACAGTTTACTATCGGTTAAGCCACTCAGACGATGGACGATGGACGATGGGTTTCTGTTGGCCGAGGGCTCTGGTTCCAAGAATAGTGTTTCTGTGCCCCAAATCCCCTTCAACCTTTACTTCACATAGAAGCATGATAAAACTGGCCCGGTTCTATCAAATTTTTGGCAATACCAAGCCATTTGCATTCTATTTTATTTCTTCAACTGTTTATTTTAGGCTCATAGTCAAATATACTCTTCAAAATGGGAAACGCTATATGGATATTTTTGGCCATAAAAGCAAAATTAGCAGACAAAGAGGTGCAAAATAAGGGTTTCAGTTTGTTTTAGTGTCAGTGAAACATTTCCCGGATCAAAATAATCACAACAAGGACATGCAAACCATTAGTCGGGAAACGCGTACGATTCGGAAAAACGCACCCAGTGCATTAAAAAAAGGGCCATGTAGCCGCACGTCCTGCACGTGCAGCAGCACTATGAACGGTATTAAATTGCAGTGTCAGTTCAACAACATGCCAAGATTAACAGAAGTGCAAAGGAACAACGTCATAGGCCGCTTGCAGGCAAGGGAATCCCGATCAGCTGTAGCCAGGGTTATCAATGTAGCGCCCAGCACAATCATGAGGCTATGGGATCGGTTTCAACAACATGGGTCAACACGTGATCGGCCAAGGTCGGGAGGACCAAGAGTAACCACCCCGCCAAAGATGGCGACATCCGAATGAGCCACCAACATGAAATGTGGACCACAGCCACCTCAACAGCATCCAAAATACCGGGACTGCGCAGAATCTCCGACGCGTCATATTGAGTCGACAACATTGGCAACAACGAATGCATTGGTGCCGTCAAAACAGGGTATTGCCTTAACTGCGATGGAGAAATGACTTGTTCAGCGACGAATCAAGATGTCTCCTCTGTCGATGGGATGGAAGAGCACGGGTCTTCAGGCGTCAGGGAGAATGTTGAGGCGGAAACTGCATACAGGAAGTGGACAGGTTTGGTGGGGGTAGCATTATGATGAGGGTGACTATCTCTCATCATGGCAGGTCAGGTTTGGTCCATATCCAGGGCAATCTTACGGCTTAACAATTTATCAACGAAATTCTCCTACCACACGTCCTCCCAATTGCAGCCAACTGCAACGGTGTATTACAACATGACAACGCTCGACCGCATACAGCACGGATCACAAGAGCCACCAACAACGTTGATGTTCTCCCCTGGCCCTCCAGATCCCTGGATCTGAACCCGATAGAGCACCTGTGGGATGAATTGGATAGACGGCTACGCCGACGTCAACCACAACCTCAACGTTGCAGCAGTTGTCTTTTGCGTTGCAGGCCGAGTGGGCTACCATTCTCAAGGATGTGATTCGAATTCCCGTCTCTTCCATGGGCAGGACATGTCAGGCTGCTATCAATTCCAGCTGGGGACATACGTGTAATTGATAGTCCCTGACCTTCACCCTGGA